TTTTTTTAAAAACACACTGTGGACACAAATTTACAAAGTAGAAAAACATTGTTAACAAGAAGTGAGCTATTCCTAATAGACATGAAGTGGTAATCAGCACAGGCTTCATTTTTCAAAGGAACTTGTGGTTTGACTACTTTTGTAGGTTAGTCAGTTAACCTGAATCACTGTGACCTTCAGTAATTTTACAGCCATCTTTTTTACATTTCAAAGAGTTGAAGAGTGAAAGATCCCCAGTATCTCAGCACTAGCTGATCTGAACTGAAATCAAGAAAACACTATCTATTTTCTGCATATCCAAAAGTGGATAGATCTGCCAAGAGGTTTTTCACTGCTTGATCAATCTCTAGTTTCAAGTGCTTAGATGGTAATTAGCCCCAGTTCAACCCACTTGATTTTCTTTTAAACTTCAGCAACATCAATATTTTGTAGTACGGAAGTTTGACAGATGACAGGAAATTTAAGTCATGTGAAGTTGTCAATCTCCACCAGGAACGGACATGGGTTTATTTTTCAGTAAATCTCTCTGCTTTAAGAACTCCACTATTATCCACCCCAGTCAGAAAAGGTTAAGATTTATAATAAACTGAATGCCTTACTGAGGTAAAAAATAGGTGAGATCTGAAAGTTAAAACAGAATCTCACTCCTTTGTGACCTAGAGAAGTCCTTCAACTAGTCCTCTTCCCCCCCCCTTCATAAACTAATTGAGCCTTATGCTTATTCTTCAAAGGATTTGTGACAAAATAGGTAATGTTTTAAATGAGAACAATTTTACATGACAAATTGTGACAATTGTGTACAGTGCTAGAGATGCTAATATCATATCTAGCATTAGACATGCTAATATCTCCAGGTATTCCAGGTTATAAATAAAAACACTGGGAACTAGTCTACTACATAACTCGTAAAAAACTTGAGTCCTATAACCTTTTAGACAAAGAGCACTATTAACTGGGGTGACCTTAATTATAAGCAGATAGGATCAGGACATCTATCTATCTTGGGCACTTCCCTCAGTGTAAAAATGTTTTTCCAGTCGTAGTTTTCTTAGTTTGTTCCGTGCAACTAGCCAACCTAGCAACTAGCCACCAGCCAAGAGTAGAAAGCAATTTCCATATTCCCTTATTCTTAACTTGGACCCTAATCTCCCTCCTAAAGCAACCTTTGCATACTCCCTTCCACACATCCTCTTGTTCCTTCTGCTCTTACATGGACTCTGATGCCTTTGTTCTGCTCTGCCTTCCCTGCCCATGTCTTTGATCTCTAATCCTTTTCCTTTCTCAGCCTAACATGTTATTTGTTTGAAGGGACAGTACCCACATCTTTTCTACCTTTGTCCATTTTCTATTTTTAGATATTATACTTCCACTAACTCTACCTCTTCTCCCTTCTCTTTCTAAAACTTCAACTCCCTTTTAAAAACAGCAGTAGCTCTAACACCTTCTGCACCTCTCTTGGTTTGGAAAATGGAAGTAATTTGGTTCCAGTTCTCAAGTCTGCTGATTTTTCAAAATCAAAAGATGAGGAAAGCAAGACTTAGAAAGGAGAGAAACACTATTTGCTTTAGTACTCAGGATTTGTTCTCTCACATCTTTGTCATTTTACTCCTTTAGAACACACACTGTTCAGAATGACATAGCAGTGCATCTTATTTCCACTGCCCAAATATGTAATGTAATCTTCCCCAATGCACCATACACTAAAAAAAAAAAAGAAAAAAGAAAAGTGCAGATATCTAGAAAGTTTCCCTTGTTTCTTAGGTCAGAGAAGCATAACCTGAAGGGACAAGAAAAACATAAGGGAAAGTAGACATGCCAGTAGTGGGCACTGCAATTTAATCTCTGATCAACTAAACCACAATTTCTGCAATTGCAACATGCAATTTCTGTTTGTTATATAATAAGACTGGGTTTGAGATACCCTGAAATGTGCAAAACAAGTCAATTACAACAAACCTCCACTTGAGTGAACTTTTGCTATATGTTGCACTGAGATTGGTTCTTATTTTAGTTAGGCATCAATGGCTAAAGTTTAGCCATCCAGCAATCTGACTGGCAGTCTTAACATTTCATTCTGTATATCTAATACATCTGAGGAACTAATTAAAGATAATTTAGTGTTAATGAGGCAGTGAGGATGTATCAGTGTTAATTCAAATGGAAGCTGATCCATGAAAGTCAAGGCTTCCAGTTTTAATGTGCTTTAGAACTACTAGAGAATTATTACATAACAGAATAGTTGATATCTAAGATCACCTGATTAATATAAACTGTGATTGCAGAACAACCAGGGATTATAACCAAGCATAAATCCTATTAAACTTCCAAATACTAAAACATAGATCTGAAAGTACAGAAATATTGTAAAACATAAGTAAGACACTTTGAAGAAACCTATAGGGTTTCTTTTTCCCCTATTAGGAAAAAGCCAAAAGCTTCCTCACTTCAGTGTTTAGTTATTTATTTAAATATATTAGGAAACACACTGATTAAAAAACAAATGAACCAAACACCACCTTTCCTGGTTTCAGAAGCAGGCAACTGAAAAAAACATACCTTAATTAATTGAAAATACACTTTTGGTTTAGAGAGCCACAGTTTAGTTTTTATGCAAGGCCTTACATAGCTCTCCATTACAACATAGTAGCTGTTTCTTAATTATCCTCAGCAACACACTTATAAAATAATGATATGTAGGTGCTTCACATTTAAAGACACTAAGCACACAGTACAGACACTCAAATAGTGTTTTCACTTCCAGCCCTCACAACCGCTGCTGGCTTAAGCGGTCCCTACCGCTTCTCTGCTCATTTCCCCTCCCGAGCACTTCCCTCTTCTTCATGCTGGCACAAAAGTTCATATGGCTCTGCAGTGAAGTGGACTGGGGAACTGATCCAGCAAGAAACTTGATAGTTCAAACTACATTTGTTCCTCAATCCGGCTCACATGCAACCACGTGTGCCAGCTCAGAGGAAGGGGTAGCAGCAAGCAGTTGGAAGCTGCAGCTTGCGACTCCTTAAGCATCACAACCAGGGGTTTATCTTTTAGCTGGGAAGGGATGGTCTGCATCGCAAAAAGCTTTGCGAAAAATATTCCCTCATGCAGTGGTAGCTTATGGAGGCAGATGTTATTTTACTGGCACAATTAAAAGCAGTCCACCTGAGTGGCATAAAATACTGGCCAAATGACTCCTTTTCCAGTATAAAGCTATTTATACAGAGGATTATTTCCAGAATAGATAAACTGTGGAGTTTGAGATATGAAAATCTCTGATCAGTTTATGCCATAAGGTTTTTCTGGCGTAGACTGGCTAAAAGGATTAGCCCATGTTTTTAGTGAAACCTTTGAGGATGAGAAATAATCTAGGCCAAGAACATGCTGGATATCATCCATGCCTAAGCAGTACTCAGAATGATGCATTGTGCTACAATATTTTGTTCTAAATATTAATTCACATGACCTCTTTTTCAGGGGAACCACCTGTATTTGGAACAGCTGCAGTAAGTCAGCAAGAGTCACTTCTGCACAAAGGGGCAAGGTATATGCAATCAGTAGACTGCCATTACCTTGTGCCTGACAAGTGGTAGCCTCTGGTTTGCCACTGTCATCAACTTGCAAATTTGGCTGGAAAAACACCACCATGGTTCCCAAAAGGCACAAAAGTCACAACATGCCACCCTTTTTCTTCAACCACCCCCCGCACACTGGCTGCTGTACCTGCTAATATTAGCTCTACCACCATTCTCACAAATATGTTTTAAGGAAATAGGCAACAAAGTAGAATCCTGCTATACCAAATAGAGCAACTCTTTGAAAGGGAAGAAGCAAGGATTTAATATTAAAAGCCTGCCTATGCATCATAACAAAGGTTATTGATATAAAAACTCATGTTATCATACTATAAACACTTTGGGCATGGCAATGAAAACTAGTAAAGGGGGAAGTCAGTTTCTCACAATAGCTAAAGAATATGAAGTAAAAAAAGAGTTTGTTTCTTCGAGGTTTGTTTGGCTTTAAGTTTTGCCTTATTAATGTAACTTCATAGGAAGGTAAGCATCCAAGTCATTAACTGCCAGAATCCTTTACGCTTTTAAAAATATTTCCCCAATTCAGTGATTTTCATGTGTTAAGAGCCCAACAACCTGTTCTTCTTTGAACTGTCTTTTCCCCCTCATACATATTCCCTGTAAAGGAGAATACTGGACTGATGCTTCACTAATACCTTTAGTAAATTATTTGAAATACTATTCAAATTATCACTCCAATAATAAAACAATTTTATAAAAGTAATTAAATAATGCAGGATACATATCTGCAAAGACTGCTAAACATTTTTTCCACTGTTCCCAAGGTTCTTAAAGGCTGTAAATCAGTGAAAGCAAAGTTATTGACTATTATTTGGTTAGAAAAATGAGCTTATAGATCAAAGGTAGATCCCAATCCATCACAAAATTCCTGTATTTTAGAAATCTAGCCCTCCTGTTAACTTGCCCAGCACATCTACACTTCATATCTAAAGATAAATTCAAAGTCTCATTTGCAGCTGTCTAGAGTAGATTTTTAGTCAAAAAGTTTGAGGCCTTTTCCCTCATCTTGTTTCAGTTCTAGATTTCTGTCCAGATTTTGACATTCCAGGAGTATTCATAATCCCTTAAAAACAGATCTACTCATAAACGTTTTGTAACATTTGTAAATTCAGCCAACTTACCACTGCTGCCACAGTCAGCACAAGACAACAGTTCTTCTGGTTTTTTTTCACGATTTGATTCTTTCGTCCCCAAACAAAAGCTACATATTGGAATGGGATCAGCTCGTGGCTAGATTTAAAAATAAACAAGTGATAGTTAGCTTTACTAAGGGAAGACAAAAAACACACACCTTAACAAAAGCTACAGAGATGGGCAAACCGATTTATTCTCGGTGGCCTTCCTGGTTTCTCAAAATCCTAAGTTTAGAAAATCAGATTTAACTGATGTTTTACTGTATTATTACACATTATTTACCAGGATAAATGCCCATTTTGCATCACATTAGTATTGCAAAGTTTATCATCTTACTCATCCACATAGACCTTTCTAATACATGACTAGTGTTGACAAGAAAAAAAAAAAAGCCACCACCACCAAAAACAAGAAAAGTTAGAACTTAAGAACATTATTCTTGAACACAAGAGTCAACTCCAGAACACACAGAAAACTGCTTATTCTTCAGCTATAAGAGCATACAAATATGCAAACTGACCTTTGATATAGCTTGAATATTCTTCCATTCTACAAGATAAGCAATAGCTTTTAAACAAAACCCTCGATTTTAAGGCATTCTATCACATTTCCATCTGGCATGGACCTTCCTTGCACCTTCCTCTGAAACCACTAGGTTAGGGTAAAGACAGTGGATTCAATGGATCAGGTATCTCCTCCAGCCTGAAAAGTCCTATCAACTGCACTATGCAACCAGAATAAGAAAAACATGCAAACTTTTCAAAGTCTGGAAGCTGTACACACTCAAAAAGTTTCTTTGGAAACTCACAGTTGCTGAATTTATTGGGGCAGTAGTACTAGTACTAGTTTTATATGTCAAATCAATTATAGCTTGTCTTCACCTCCATTTCTTCATTTTCCACTGTATGCCATTACACTTCTATAAGGTGACAGGCTATCTTAAATCATCCTTCCAATCTGTGCTCCATTACAGTTTAGGGAATAAGGAGGTGGTTGTTTTTAAGGGTATTCTTGAGAATGCAAGAGTTCCATGTAGATATGCCCTTATATTGCAACACAACATAACACAGACACTGAAACTAGCTTATACTAGCAAGCTTTAGTATCAGCTTAAATCAAGCAGTAGAATCCAAAGAATACTGACACTATCAGGATAAAAATTTTCCTACCCAAGCTACAGGAGCACAGATGTCCCCCACACTAAAGTAAAATCACTTCTATATAGACATACCCTGAGGCATATCATTAAGAGGCAGGGGGGAGTATTCTTCTGAAAGCTTAATGGTCAGAAGGTCTATCTGCTGTTCGTCTTTTCAAAATCCAATTATTAGAACGTTGCCACATATGTATACCCCAAAGCATAAACATTCAAAATATAATCAGAGTAGTACACTTTCAGTGAGTGCCGAGTTATCTGTTTTCTTCCATAAACCACAAAAGGAAATTGAAATACCACTTTCTTGTATCAAATAGAAATAAAACTTATGCAATCCTTATTCTAAGTAACACCCCCATTACAGATAGCAGAAATACCAAATTGCTACTTTGACAAAAATAATTGTGAAAGTGATAAAGGTGGGAGATATACAATTCAGTCATGCTTCAAGAAAATATACAATACATTGACATTTTTTGTCAGTTATGGCAGGATAACATTGAATGAGATGATTAATTCTGTGGTGGAAAAGGATGTACATATTACTTGCAGAATCTTTTACTTGCACATTAAAAATTATGCAAATACAGATGATAAAACCATTAGCTATTGTTCTTGCCAATAAGAAATCATAATTCAATAGACTTGTCCCATCATTATACTTTTAACGGAATGGTATTCAGAGCAAAATGATATGAATAATTCAATAAAATTAAAGAAACTACTAAAAATCAGCTTTTGGTTTGTTTACTCATTCTTAAACAGCAATAGTCACAGTGGCTGAAAAACCAATCCAGAGCTATCCAGCTAAAACTGCTCCCTTACAGCATCTTGCGAACGCTCCTTAATTGCGGATGATTTTGAAAGTAACATCTTTCTTTCAGTGGACTCCAGTTTAAAAAAGAGAAAGAACAAACACACCCACAATAAAAAAAAACACCACACACACAAAAAAAACCACACTCATCTTGGCAATCATACCACTCCTACTTTCCCTTTGATATAACAGTACTTTGGCCATTTCAGAAATGCAGAAATGCTTACTCTTATAAATAATTTCACAAAATATCCCATATTTTTCATGTAATGAAACAAATCGAAGTCCACAATCTCATTTATCTTACCAAGATTTTTTCTTGCTCTAGGAAAGACATGGCCATCAGCCAAAATTCATGTACTTCCCTCTTTCAACCTCCTCCCGCCCCCTTTGTTTTTAACTAAAGGTAACATAAAGGACAAAGGTTGTTGGCAGTTCAGGGCTGGAAAGACTGATGTCCCCATACCAAACCTAATAGGGAGGTTACAAATCCTATCACTTCATACATAGGTTTTCAAAGATCTTACAGCTCCAATACGTATTTTTGAACCATTTACATTAATAACCATCTGAATATTACACAGACTGATCTTTGACCTACTGATGACTCAAAATTCAGAGGCATGTGTTTATTCCTAACAGCAAATAAAACTTACGCGAACCACAGTTAAAGCAAAACTATATTCATACTGATATTAGGATTATTTTTTACTCACGACTGTCAACTAGGATAAACTGGAAGAAAAGTTGTTTTGACTGTGTCAGAACATGATCCAAAAAAAAAAAAAAATTCCTCCTGCCTGCCTCTCTTTTCAAGTCTTAACCATTACTTTACCTTCCAAAACGTAGTTATCAAGTATCATTATCATCCTCCAGACAAAAATGGTTAGTTGAAATAAAGACTAATTCCATTCTCTCTTACAGAAACTAGTATGGCTAGTTATTTGATCCTGCAACATTTTATACCAAATAAACTAAAAATATTTATCTTGCTATTCAATCTCAGGTTGAAAAAGAAAGTAAAGGAAAATAAAATTTCCATCCTATATTTCAGAACCACGTTACCAATGTTGTTACCAAAACTTTAAGACTATATTCTATGTTCTGTCACTGACAACAGGGCTGAAAACATACTATTTCTTCAATGTAGCTAATGAGCTGAAAGAATTTTTCATCCATTTAATTTTTGAAACAAGCCAAATTACTACTTCCGTAAGCATTTCATTTTCTTCTTCAAGACAACAACTGAAGAATTCTAAGCCAAGAGATACCATATCCTATTTCTGGTCACTAGAAATTGTATATCCAAGCTCAAGAGATTGTCCTGTTCAAATAACTGCATACTTCCAATTGCAGTAGGGGCAAATTTGCAGAGATCTCAGTGAGCATGCAGTTACATTCAGAAACTGAAGAGTCACAAAAAGCAGTTAAGCCATTAAATACTGAAATATTTTAAAAAATAAAGAAACCCTAAAAAAACACATCAGTTCAGCACCTATGAACCAATTCTTTAATATTACTTCCCAATTAGAAATTCAATTATAATAATTTAAACATCATATATCCAGCTACCATAGTTGATCAACCCTTTAAGGGACATAAAAACCCACAATGTTTCAAATGGTAATTTTACTGTCACCTGTAATTCTGAGTCATACCTGTGGGCGAGAACCCTCCCTCCTGATGCACACACAGATTTTGTCTGCCCAAGCCTACATTCTCAGTTCCCTACAGTAGGTATTCAAGATAGGACTAGGCTGTAAAATATAGTATTTTATATACATTTCTGAAATATATAGTGTTAAACGGACT